CGCGATAGTCTTATTTGGGGATGGGGCTGATCTGTTCCTGAAAATGGTGACAAAAAAGAATTCTCATGTGTTACACTAAAAATATAGTGTTTACTGTTGTGGGTCTGCATTTGTTTGGGTCCCCCTAAACTACAGGGCTACTTACTTACTTACTTACTTTGGAGATTTAACGTGCGCTTTCCGACTGATGCGTATTTCGCACACGGGCCCGGCCAGGCCATTTAATGTGTTTCCGAAAGGGGCGAAGGTGGTCTGTGCAACCCAAGAGGGGGGTTTTAGGGGTTGCTTATATAGAATTTGGGAATTTTGAGATTTGGAATAGATGCCGATGGGATTGGGGAGGAGAACTAAGGGAGCTGGGTATGGTGGATGTTTGTTTGTTTATGTGATTTTGATTTGGTGAGTTATTGTGTTTTTAGATGCGTTTTATTAGTTCCGTTTTGATTAAGAATACGCCTAAGGCCTTGAAGTTTTCTAGTTTATTTTGTGGGTTTAGTATTGCTTCTAGAGTTAGAGCCTTGTTTAGATTGAGGGTGGTTTGTAATGCGGTTCGATGTGTTAGGTAGTGTGTGCAGTGGATGAGTGCGTGTTCTGGGGTTTCTGGTTGTTTGCAGTGCGGGCAGTTACCTGTAGTGTGTTTTTTAAATTTTTTTAGGTGGTTATTTAGGTTGGTGTGTCCTGTTTGGAGTTTAGTGATTACTCTGTCGATTTTTTTGGATGGATGGAGAATTTTTGGTTTGGTTAGTGGTTTGCTGAGCACTTTTTTGATTTGGCTATTTGAGTTTAGATATAGGTTATGCCATTTTTTGGTGATTTTTTGCTTGTTTACACTTTTAATTTCTGATTTTGAGATGGGTAAGTTTAAGCTTATTTCTGGGATTTTGAGGGATAGTTTAGCTGCTTTATCTGCGTTTTCATTACCGTATATTCCTACGTGGGCGGGTATCCACAAGAAGGTTATTTGTTTGCCTGCCTTAGTTAGGTCGTTGGAGCTTTTAAGTATTTGATTTATTAATTTAGGTCGGTTTTTGGTATTTTTGTTTTGGAGGGCTTGCAGTCCACTTAGGGAGTCGGTAAGTATTAGGATTTTTTTGTGGTTTTTGGATTCTTGATTATGGAGGGCTGAGGCCATGGCCATTAGTTCTGCCGTGAATATTGATTGGTTGTTTGGGAGTCGGAAGGATTGTGTGGTTTTAGTTGGTTGTGTGGTATGGACTCCGAAACCTGTGTGTTTGGAGGTCGGATCTGAGGATCCGTCCGTGTAAATGTGACACCAATTTGGCCAATTTTCGTGTATGTATGCTAGTGTGGTAGTTTTAGCTATGTTTGGGTCGGTTTGTTTATTTATTTGGCTAGCTAGTGTTGTGTCTATTTTGGGTATTTTAAGTTTAGGGGTGAAGATATTTGATTGTTTGCAGTTTTGTTTAAGATTTTTAATTTGGTGTTCATTTAGGTAGTTTGTTATTCTTTGGGATATTGGGGTAAGTAAGGGGTGTTTACGAGCTAGAGCTTGGTTTTTGGGGCTGATGTTTTGGTTTATTAAGTTTTGGATGAGAGGGTTTGATTGGGACGCGGCCCAGAAATTTAAGCTTAGCTGTTCCCTGCGTAGACTTAGTGGCATTTCTCCTGTTAAGGCCTGAAGTGAGGTGTAGGAGGTGCCATGTTGGGTGCGTGTAATTAGTTTGAGAGCCTGATATTGTATTGAGTCAAGTTTTTTAGATAGAGAGTTGTTTAGGGTGTTGTATATGGCGCAGCCGTAGTCTAGTTTTGATCTAATTAGTGATATGTAGAGAGAGAGGAGGGTATCTTTGGATGCTCCCCAGTTAGAACCAGTTAGGCATCTTAGGGTGTTTAGGTCTTTACTGCATTTAGTTGTTAGGTTTTGGATGTGAGCATCCCAGGTGAGATGTTCATCGAAAATAAGTCCTAAGAATTTGGTTTGTTTTTGAAATTTGATTGTTTGATTGTTTAGCTGGAGGATTGGGGAGGCGGGTTTCATGTTTTTATGTTTGAATACTATTCCTGTTGTTTTTTCTGAGTTAAGGGAGAAGCCCCATTTGTCAGCCCACTGTTGTATTTTATTAAGAGATTTTTGGAGTAAATTTTGGACCATGTTCATGCTTTTAGTGCGGATCCAGATGGCTCCATCATCCGCGAATTTTGATGTGTTTACTTTAGGGGATAGGCCCTCGAATAGATCGTTTATCATTATATTGAAGAGGGTGGGGCTGAGGATACTGCCCTGTGGAGTACCATTTTCTAGGGGACATTGGTCCGATAGAGTTTGGTCTATACCCACGGTTATTTTACGATTGTTTAGGAAGTCCTGGATGTAGTTTATTATCTGACCTTTGAGACCTATTTTTTTAAGTTTTTGTATTAGCCCATCGTGCCATACCATGTCGAAAGCTTTAGAGAAGTCTAAGAAGATGCCTGTGGTATATTGTTTATTTAGCTGTCCTGTCTTAATATCTTGTTCTAGTCGGGTGAGGTTATCTAGGGTTGAGCGGCCAGGAGTGAAACCGCTTTGATCTGGGTTTATGATGTTATTTTGGGTTAAGTAATGTTGTAATCTATTTTTAGCCATTGATTCCATTACTTTACATAAGTTTGAAGTTAGGGATATTGGTCTATATGAGTTAGCTTGATTAGCTGGTTTATTAGGTTTAGGGATTGGTATGACTAGGGCCTGTTTCCAGGGAGTAGGAACCTGTCCGTTTAGGTAGATGAGATTGTATAGTTTGAGTAGTGCCTGGAGTAGTTTTAGGGGGAGTTTTTTAATTATTTGGTAAGAAGTTAGGTCTAATCCTGGGGCTGTGCCCTTTTTCCTGTTTTGGATTACGTAGAGGAGCTCCTCCATTGTGTAGGGTTGATTTATTTCTAGATTGTTATTGTTTGGTTCTTTTGTAGGTTTGTTTTCTGTTTTAAGTTTATCTTGGAATTTTTTACTGAAGTTGGTGTTACTGCTAACGGCCGAAAAGTGGTTGGCGAGATTATTTGCTTTTTGGGCGGGGTTGGTTGAGTTGTCAATGTTAGGGGTTTTTTTATGTCGTTTTAAGCCTCTGATGGCGTGGAATTTGCGCCAGACCGTTCTGGCATCTGTACGGTTATTTATACCTTCGCAGAATTTTTTCCAGTCTCTACTTTTGGCTATTTGGACTAGTTTTTGAACCTGGTGGTTTAGTTCGTGGGCTATGTTTAAATATTTGTAGTCGCGTTTTGCTTTATTGAAGGCTGATTTACGTTTTCGTCTAGTCTGTTCTATTTCCTCATTCCACCATGGTACCGTCGGTTTGCCTGTCTTAGATGTTTTGAAGGGGATGGAGGTTTTGGCTGCGTTTATTATATAGTCTGTTAGGTTTTTACAATAGGTTTCTGGATCATTATTTTCTATTTCGTTTAGGTAAGCTTCGTTGCAGATATCTTGGAATTGGTCCCAGTTAGCTTTATTGTAATGGAATTTTGGTTCTTGGTTTTCTGTTTGGATTGGTACGTTTGTATTTCCTATAGTTATGTTTATGGGGAAGTGGTCACTACCTAGCGGGACGTCGTGCACTTCCCATTGAGTACTTTGGGCTAGATCTGCGGTGCATATGGTTAGGTCGATAGCCGACATTTTTTGGTTTATCTTATCGTACCTCGTGGGTTGGTTGCTATTAAGGAGTACTAGGTCGTTTGTTTCTATCCATTCGGAGATTAATTTGCCATGATTATCTATTTTATCATCTATGCTCCATGTAGGATGGTGAGCGTTAAAGTCTCCTAGGAATATAGTAGATTTATCGCTTATTTGGAGTAGTTTGTTTAGATCCTCAGGTTGGACTTTTTGTTCCGCCCAGTGGTAAATATTTATGATGTTTATGTTTCGGTTATTTAATGTGATTTTAATGCCGTTGGCTTCTAGGTTTGGCGTGTCTATTTTTATTTCTTCGTAATTTATATCTTCCCTGATAAATATGATTCGTCCTCCTGCGGCTCTTCTTGTTTTCGGTTTAGCTCTGTCAGTTCTAACTGAGTTGTAGTTAGGTAGTGTGAATTTGGATTTTTTTGAGAATTTGGTTTCCTGTATACAAGCAATGTGAGGGCCTTTATTTAGTTTAAATTTAGTTTTTAGTTCATGGCCGTGGGAGGTGAGTCCGTTGGCGTTCCACTGAAAAATATTTAGTCCTTCGAATATTGGGTTCGGGTGATTGGTGATTTATTTTTTATTTTTTATTTTATTCGGTGAGTTCTTTTAGATGGAGGTTAAAGAGGAAGAAGGGAAGATCGGTTAATTTTAGATTGAAAACTACTTTGTAGAAGGATTTCATGCTAGCTTTTGGTGAGTTTTGACTATGCATGTATGCTAGGAGTAAGGTGAGGTTGTTTAGGTTTTGGGTGTTGGCTGGTTGGGGAGTTTGGTTTGTTTTAGTTGGAGTAGTGTCTATTGTTTCCTCAGTAGTGGAGAAATCTTCGTCATCGGTTAGATTAGGTTTAGCTGATTGAGTTTCCATGGGGGAGGCATGTGATGTGGAGGATTGTGAAGGTGTTTGTGGGATGGGTGTAGCTGATGATTTCATAGTGTTTGTGTTTTGTTGTTGTGCTTGCTTGTGATGCAGAGTGATGCAGAGTGTTATATGATCAATAGTGTTAGGGCCTGTGGGCAGTCTGTGGTTAGAATAGGTCCCGAGCATCCTAAGCCTGTCGTAAGAGATGTGTTCATGGATCTGGTGATTTCGGGGATTATGTTTGATCAAGACCCTGACAGTGTGGATCATTGCTCACAATATCGATCACAGATTTGTCTGTCCCAACTTGTTTATATAAAGGCTGCCATCATAAACACAAAACAAACAAAGCCACAGCATTGCAGAGAACAAACAAATAAAATTTGATCATCAATATTTTTTCACTTCATCCCCAGCATGTGATATGTCTTTGGAAAAAAATGTTATATTAAGGTTATCATTTCAATTTTTTTAGAATGATTAACAGAATACAATGAATTATTATTTTTCCAGTCAAAATCATCAAATAACAAGTCAGTATGTCGTCCACATCTGCAAAACACCGGAACTTTGTGTCTGAGCCAATGGGAATAAAACCTGTGACGGAGCTAGCTGGAATAGGAGACGTCCTTGGTGGGAGGCTCCGCGAAGCAGGATTTGATAAGGTAAGTTCAGGTCTTGTCTCATATTTCAGTAGACAGAAGAATCAGACATTCAGGGTGTCATTTGCTGAAAATTGTAGTATAATTATCCCAACTCAAACATATCATGATCTATTGATTACTAATAAAATCAAATATTCTGTATCTGTATAGATACATAGTTACCTATATAGACCTGCAATTAATGGATGTGATGAAAAATATGAACTGGGCTGATCCATTCAATGATAGGGAGCGGTCGGGTAGCCTAGTGGTTAAAGCGTTCGCTCGTCATGTCGAAGACCCGGGTTCGATTCCCGACATGGGTACAATGTGTGAAGCCCATTTCTGGTGTCCCCCGCTGAGATATTGCCGGAATATTGCTAAAAGCGTCGTAAAACCACACTCACTCACTCATTAAATTATCCTGTCTGCCTTTTCCTTATCCATGTCAATCATGATCATGATGGTAATCTAAGTAGCAACGTTTCTGTGGCTGGGAATTATTCATGTAGTATCAATATTCAGACATTTGTGCCGATTTTTACAAATTTATCATTGTTGTAATGTATACAATGACACCCTATATAGACAACTGTTTCTGGCAGGAATGATACATTCTATTGGTTAAAAAGACTTGATCATTTTCTCTGGGTTTTATCATTGAAGATCATTTCATTTTAAAGGGACAGGACGTTGACCATTCTGAAGCTTTAACAATTGACGATAGCCCCCGATCTTACTCGGCTCTGCTCACCTTGTTCCATTTCAGCTTTAGTGACTACACCGTGGGTGTAGGCATGTCACGTGACCAGACTCTCGTCCTGTTTGTAAACAAACTCACTTTAAAATTCTGAAATAAGAACAGACAGGCTTACTGCTAGCCTTTAGATGCTCTTTACATATTGTTTGCATAGTTATATAGACATACTACTACAACTGTGACAGTGCGGTGTATGACAATATAGCTTTACACATCAAAGTGACCGTATATTTCTAGCTTTCAGTAGGGCTTCGATGACAAGAGATGGATGATGCCATGTCAACTTCACTGTGCAGAGTTCTATTTTTTTGGTTTGAGAATTAAATTGGGCATGTGACATGACATTCGTGATTTAAAACACAGAACCGTCAACGGACTGTCCCTTTAAGGATTCTGCTGAGAAATTAGTGTCCAGCCTACTACACAATATGTCAAACTTTATTAATGTTTAGATATGACATGGAATAACTTTTGCAGTAATCATGTAGCTATAGTGCTTGTTGATGCTTCATATAACTGTAAACAAACAAGAGCCCCAGCAACAGGTTGGTATCTGACGTGGCTGTACGATAATAATGGTTATTTTTTAGAATTCCAGAATACTGTTCAACCTCTAAATACTTTCTCCCCGTGTTCATATACTTGTCTGGATTTGTGTTTTTAGATTACGGAGAATAGGTTTCAGTTGTTTATGCATTAAATTGGTGATTGTAACACAGTTCGTATACCCATTTTCTGACAATTCATGGACTGCCTCCATGGTCTAGAACATCCACAGATTGATCCCAGGCCGCATCATTTAGTAAAAACATTAAAAGATGGAACTTGTTTCCATTAAGGGGATAGAATCAGGAGTGGGCAGCTCAGATTCAACATACAGGGTCTGAATACGGTATCCATGTTAAACTGCGGCATGGTTTCTCAGTGGGTAGCACACTGTGAAACGGGCATAAGTGTGGATGATCAGTGCAATAATCGTCAGTGAGATGTTAAACCCCAATTCATCTCAAGCTCAACTCACCTCATATCCATCAATTGATCTTCAAGTCTTCTCACCTCACCTCACTTCATCTCACCTCCAACATTTGATCATCTGTCCGTTTCCTTCCAGGCGTATGTGGTACTGGGGCAGTTCCTGGTGCTGAAGAAAGATGAAGAGTTGTTCCAAGAATGGCTGAAGGAGACATGTTCTGCAAATGCCAAACATTGTCGGGACTGCTACACATGTCTGAAAGTCTGGTGTGATTCCTTCTTGTGAGATGCCTGCCCTGTCACATCATGCTTCTGTCCACACGTTCTTGTGCATATTCTTGCTTCTTTGTTCCAAGTTGCTTCTGAATCCACTTTTGTTAAAACAGGTTATTGCTAGGTTATAGAGGTGAAACGATACATCGGACGGTGCACCGTGAGTTTTCATGCGCCGATACGATACATTTTACTCTGTGTCGATACAAGACGATACACTTGCTAAAATACATACTGCTTGTTTAATGACCCCCCCCCCCCCCCCCGCGCGTTTTTGTCAGTAAAAAATCGCAAAGTGTGTTGTGATTAAGTTCAGCACTAAAAAACGAATAAGTGTCTACAGCTAGCTTTTCCTTTTGAACCTGCCCTGAAAAATTTATAGTCAAGACGTATCCACACTATTTGACGAAAATATGCATATGGCGATACGTATCATATTGTGGCCTTTGTATCGTGATACGTATCATTGTGACCTTGCTGTATCATTTCACCCCTACTAGGTTGTGTTGAGAGCCACAGATCACACTCGCTGCCAAGAAACAAAACAGTACTGCACAGTGCAGTAGAACACAAAGCAATAAACCTATGGAACATGGACCAAAGAAATTATAATGTTCAAGATTTATCTACCAGGCAAGCAGTTATTTCTGCAAGGGTTGTTAATACAGTATCACTATATTATCAATGTGCTGTGATTCTTTTGCCTTTGATAAAATTTGCAGGAGTGGATCCTTTTAAATTGTTGACTACTTGTCATAAATAAGATATCCATATTCAGTGTATAGCCATCTTGTTTGTTTGTAATGCTTTGGTAGGGTTAGCTACACAGCATGACGGACATATTTATTGCCTTAAGACAACCTGTTTTAATAACTTGAGCTGAAAGTTGGGTCGCAGACTTGTATGCAAATAGTAGTTGCGAATATTGATAAAAAATTAAGGGGGTCAAGATGCCATTTGGGCATTTCAGCAGTGGTGTTTTAATGTAAGAACCCAACATCCTTAATGTTTTACATTAGAGAATCGGAGAAAGGACACTCTTGCCTCGGGAAGATGTATGTTGCAGTGCAATAACTGTTCTAAACCAAAATGTCAGGTTCCATGTCCAAATCTAGTCCCTCTTTTTCTAAATGGAGTAGGCTGATCTTTGATCCGAGTAAAAGAACGGGCAGGATTTAACTATTCGCTTATTCTGCACTTCACAATATAAGTTCTTAACATAAAGATACTTGGTGATGCTGTGGTGACACAATGAATTAATTATTCATCACCATACAGGAAGATAGGAACTAAGGTAATTATGATAACTGAGAGATTATATACATACATTTAGCAATGTGAATTTTTCAAATATGTTGTAGCGATGTTCATTAAACTCTTATTATAATAACAACTGTTGTCACTGTATTTTGATTACATTTTGGACAAAAAGAGGTTAGTATGAACTTGGTTTCAAATATCATGTCTCTTGTGATTATATGACATCAACCTCCCTGTTTATGCTCTGAAGCTGATGGCTATTGACCCCCGTGAAGATCAAGGTTAGAATTGGTCTTCAGCAGCCCATGCTTGTCTCACCCTGTGAAGATGAGGGTTAGAATTGGCCTTCAGCAGCCCGTGCTTGTCTCCCCCTGTGAAGATGAGGGTTAGAATTGGCCTTTAGTAGCCCGTGCTTGTCTCCCCATGTGAAGATGAGGGTTAGAATTGGCCTTCAGCAGCCCGTGCTTGTCTCCCCCTGTGAAGATGAGGGTTAGAATTGGTCTTCAGCAGCCCGTGCTTGTCTCCCCCTGTGAAGATGAGGGTTAGAATTGGTCTTCAGCAGCCCGTGCTTGTCTCTCCCTGTGAAGATGAGGGTTAGAATTGGTCTTCAGCAGCCCATGCTTGTCTCACCCTGTGAAGATGAGGGTTAGAATTGGCCTTCAGCAGCCCGTGCTTGTCTCCCCCTGTGAAGATGAGGGTTAGAATTGGCCTTTAGCAGCCCGTGCTTGTCTCCCCATGTGAAGATGAGGGTTAGAATTGGCCTTCAGCAGCCCGTGCTTGTCTCCCCCTGTGAAGATGAGGGTTAGAATTGGTCTTCAGCAGCCCGTGCTTGTCTCCCCCTGTGAAGATGAGGGTTAGAATTGGTCTTCAGCAGCCCGTGCTTGTCTCTCCCTGTGAAGATGAGGGTTAGAATTGGTCTTCAGCAGCCTGTGCTTGTCTCTCCCTGTGAAGATGAGGGTTAGAATTGGTCTTCAGCAGCCACTCACTGCCTTGGTCGATCCATGTTGTTGAACACAAGTGGCATAGATTGATGCTCCTGATGTTAATCACTAGATTGTCTTATCCAGACTTGATGATTTACAGACTGTCGTCATAGAGCTGGAGTACTGCAGAGTGTGGTGTTACAAAACAAACAATAATTAATATGGCTGTTTCCATGAAACCTTTTGTGGATAACAACTGCTTTATTTTTATTAGAATCTTGAAGTTGCTACCCATAAAAAGTTTCACATTCTTCCAACTTCTAAATGCCTACAAAATCAAAGACTTTAATGTGGCTGTTCATAACACTGCACAAGGCAGTGCATGGTGTTGCCATGAGGAGTTGTGCCCCTTACCTTACCTACTAGTCTCTGCTGGTTCCCATGGACACTCCACACACTGAAACACAACACACGGTAACAGTTGAACATGTGCTGGGATCAAGAGAATCACCGGTTCAGGGTTTGAATCCCAGATTTTCTCCAGTTATCACCCTTGGTAAGTCGGCACCATACACATACTCTAGGAGTGTTCACCAGTGGTCTGCAACCTGCTTTAATTTAGGGTTTCTCTCACATTATGACATGGCATGATATGAATGAAATAATGTTCGAAGCACACGGATTTGAATCAATAATTAATTGTTATACTTGATACACATTTTGGGAACTGTAGTAGAGCGTCTGTCTGGAGAGCCAAAGGTCATGTGTTAGATGCCCGACCGTGGCTGACCTTAAAAGGTGTGTTACACGTGCTACCCTGCCAGACTGGTGCTCGGCATTGAGGGGCTAAAACAACGACCGGTTTGCTCAGTGTACTGTGTCTAAGGAGTTATTCATGTTAAACTATGGCATGGATTCTCATCGATTGCCTTATAAAATCGTCATAAGTCTGGACTAGTACAAGCGGCCACACACACATGCATGCACGTCATAAGTACAGTTATCTTGAACACAAGTTAAACCCCATTTCACATCTCATCAGACATTTTGCTCTTCTTGCTACTCCTGAACAAAAATCATAAATCTCAAGAAGACGGTCTTCTACTCCAGGATGTCACTGATCATCAAATCATATAAAGGTGCAGCAACAGGCTGTGCAGAGATGCGTCCCTTTGGCACGTCTTTAATCTGTTATGGTTCGGGATCCTGGTTCAACCCGCTTACTTTGCTAGGTTTGCCAGCAACATACCCAGACTTGTGGATTTCACCAAATGCCTAGGCTTGCATCAATTCAGGCTTTCCTCCCACATTAAGCAGACAGGCTGTGATATAACTGGTAAACTGTTCTAGTCAGTTCTAAACCCATCTCATCCACCCATACACATTCTATTCCATGAGGATCTTTGCTTGGGCTCCAGTAAAGAGTATGTATGCCTCCGGTCTTTCAGCTCATTGTAAATAACTAGGCAAGTCTTGTTTACCAAAGAGTGTTTCTGTAGGAAGTTTTGCTATGGGAGACTACTCTTCTTTTTATATTTGAACTTTATCCCAACCCAACCACGTGAAGCGTCATAAAATCTCCCTCTTCTTAGCTAAACTTCTGACGCCCTCCTTCATAAATAGCCGAGTGTGGCTTTAAACAACAAACATCATTCAAGAGTCATTGATGTTAAGGACACAGTGTTAGAAGTGCATAGAAGTGGTATAATAGACCGAACATTATGTGACAAGTCTTATTCTGTAATAGCCAACTAGCCATTCGTGATCAACTCATCCCAATCCGGGAAAAGTCGTTGTAGGTTACGGATCGTGTGGTGACGACATGTGATCCACTAGTGGTGTTGTATCTCTCTCAGATGAGGTGGATTGCCATTACGTGTCTGCTTACATCTTGAGTATTTGCATGGCGAGTGCCAGATCAACACACATAGCAAAACAGGTATGCCTCAGACATGCATGCTTTTATGGATTGCATTGGTGCATGCTTAGATTAAGATGATTGTTATATTATAAATATCAGTTCAATCAACTGTTATCATATTAATATATTCTCACTAGAATAGTTGTTGGTTTAATTTGTGAGTGAAGATCATATCTAAAACTATCCTCCCTCAAGTATACTGGCATTCCAAGTGAGATTTTACAGCTGCCTTGGACTATTTTCTTGAAGTGAGTTTAGTTCAACACTGCTTCGAGCAGTATTTCAGTTACACTACGGGGGTCAGCTTGATGGGAGGCAAGTCATAGGTTTCTGGCACACCTAAGCGACGTAACTCTGCACTGACAATGACAGTGCCTCCTACGATTGGGCCATTTTCTTAAAGAAAATGTTGCTTTGTGTGGTTGGTAAGTCACTTGTGAATACTATTGTTTGTTTGTTTGTTGTTTTACGCCGCACTAAGCAATATTCCAGCTATATGACGTCGATCTGTAAATAATCGAATATAGATCAGACAATCCAGTGATTGACATCATGAGCATCGATCTACGCTTTTGGGATACGATGACATTCATCAACCAAGTCAGCGAGCCTGACCACCCAATCCCATTAGTCGCCTCTTTATACAAGCATGGGTTGCTGAAGATCAATTATTGTACGTTATCATTCTACCCGGATGATATAGCGGAAACCTAGATTAGTTCGCGACCCGTGCTGCGCAATTCGTAAGCGCATTTGTCACTTTTATTGATACTATAAGGGCGTATGGTCACATTGATCAACAAAATGAAATACATTTTTGGAAATAATAAGGAAATGTAGGTATCTTTGTGGGTAGCATCGGTAATGGTGACGAAATTTTGATGTCACTTGCTTGGTAATTGTGCGATTTTCGTTTACACTATTTTGACTTGCAACACAAAGTAAATAGTTCTCCTCAGCATTGCTTATCTTATCGTTTATTTTATTTTATTTTATTTTTTACAGTCAAAATGTGCAAAAGTTTCACTTAGGAAATTTATTAAAAGCCTGAATATTCAGTTATTTTAAAAATTGACTGAAAAATATGTCCATCTGTATTATTATGATAAGGCATTCCAAACATTTAATGTTTAATATCATCACCAA